TTCACATTGACCCTACTACGGCATCTAGCACCTTGCATCTATCTTGCTGACTTTTCATACCACGGACTATAGCCCTACATCCGTTTGACAAACCGCCAAAAATCAATCTGGTCCGACCCACTTCCGCACACGACCATCTCCAAGCAAACAACAAAAGGTCTCCATCTCCATCACCAGGACCCTGAGTTGCCTGAGCTACTTGCGTACCGAAGGGCACGGCCGCCTAGCAGGCTCCCATTACCGCCATTTCTCGCTTCTGCAGTCTCCCTGTTCATCATCACCAGAATACTCTTTCTCCGTACAAGTCGTCGCCATCTGCCTGCTTACCGCCGTTTGACCTCAACAAGTCAAGTGGTCAGGACAAGATCTTTTTGACGCAAGGAGGCGAGGGTAGACCAATTGAAGCTGGTCCCTGCTCCATCTGGGAGAGTTTTCATTGCTCCACGATCCTAGCACCCTTGGTGCACCTTGCATTGCAGCCACGCATTCCAGCTGCCTTCCTCCTCCAATCATCGCCTCGCCATCCACCCTGCCTTCTGTCACATCTTTCGCCCTCCCTTGTTCAACGCTACGCAGCTCGGCAGCACTAGTCCATCCCTCGACTGGTGTCGCCGCAGCCTGAATCATCATTCTGCCATTCGACGATTCCACCCATCCTAAAAACAAAATTCCCTGCTTTCGGCACTCCTCTAGGTTACCAGAAAAAAACTCCCGTTTACTGTTGTACACGACTCCCTCACCATCCATCCCACCCCCCGGCCATACAGTGTGTCGCGACTTCATCCATTGTCCTGTTATACAACAGTGCACCGACAACATCCTCTCGTACCTCACCAAGCGGCAAACACATGACATTCCCACCATGGGTTACAACACTCGTCGGAAATCCCTCTCTTTGCCTTCGCTGGGCATCCATCTACCCAACGCCTCTCGCGCTCACCGCCCAATTCTGAAGACGACAACACCTCCTGCTGATGCCTCTGCGTCTCCTCCGCCTCCTACCAAGAAACAGAAGCGCTCTCATGATAGCGACGAACCTCTGTCCCCTGTGTCCTCTCCGCGCTCCAAAGTCGGCTCACCTGCGATCGACCTCCCAACATCGACCACATTAGCACTTGCTACTGCCGTGGAGCAGACGCCACCCCCGTCTCCAAAACTTGGAACCCCCGTTCGAAAAATCGACACAGATGGTATCCATGATGACATTGTCATCTCGGTGATTGAGCAGTTGGAAAAGACGGGGAATCGCCCGCATCTGATCAGGGATTTGGCGACTATACTGGCTTCCACGAACGCCAGTATCGCTCAGTAAGCTTCTATGAATCGGCTGTTGACAGGATTCTGGCTAATTTTGCTCTTACAGTTCTGCGAACCCCGCGGCTTTACTTTCCTCGCGTCTGAGTCTCTACCTGAAAAGGCCATGGACTGCCTTGTCACCGTGCCCGTTGGCGAAGGAACTAATACCCGTTCACCCCCGGAAGGTCTTCTTCTTTCTTACAACACAACCGCGAATGCCTCTTCCTGATTCCTCGGATGACATCCTCCCTCCACCAGTGATCTCGGTCAAAAACCTGACCCCGAGCGTCTCGGAGCATAGCCAGGTCGATGACCTGGACCAGCGAGACCGTGCCCGACTATCGCCCAGTCCGGAGGTAGAGTTGTACTCTCCCGACCTTGATCACCATGACCCAATGCAGCCTCCGACCCCAGGCGACCACTTCAGCGCCAGGAGCAGTCTGAATCCCGACGGCACGCCTGATGTTCGTCGTAGAACCAACCGGGCCCCGAGTCCTCCACTTGAGGAGGACGAACGCGGGTTCACTGAGACGGCCACTGCGGTTCGTGCCCGTGGCATGAGCCTACACAATCCTATCGTTCAAGCATCAATTGAGGTTGATGAAAAGACCCCGGCTGTTGAGGTGTCAGAAGAGACACCGGAGCAGCGTCAGAACCGTGATAGAGAGCTTGGGTTTGCCCTCTTCGGTCAATCTCATCAAGCCCTCCATGTGCCGGAGCAGAAGCTGTTTTCAAGCAGTCCGATGATTCAGGCGAAACCCGACCACCAGGCACCCGTGACCAAGACGAACTTGACTCTTGACCTGGATGGAATTGAGATGGGAGTGGCCGCCTGGAGCATGATGAGCCCCGAGCAGATCGATGTCGAAGAGCTCGACGAGATGTTCATGGGTTTCTAAACCCTGGCTATTGCTGCAACAAAAGTTGCTCGACGCCAGGATAGGCTCCCACCTCTATAGATTTTGTTCACCCTCCCAACATCTCGACTTTGGCGTTGGCTAGCGTTCCCAGTCATTGCCAGCCAAGAGCTTCCGCGGTTGGCTCGTGGTGAAATGGCATGTTATTACTTTCGGTTTGTCGTCTGATGTCTGCAGCGGGCAAAGCCACGTGTTGATAGAATTCCCATCTCACGAGAAGAAGAGATTTTGTAGCATTAGAGCTAGGATGTCGGAGCTGAGATTCTGGAAAAACAAGTGTATCATGAGCAATCAAACAAGCCGTGTATTCATTCTTCGCTACAAACTTCTCAACGCTCCCTGAGGAGTTTTAGCCCATCTTTGCTAAGTTAGCGACCAGTGCCCATTCCGGACTAACTGTTTGCAGTTTGATCACATTCATATGCCTCGTATCTCGTATCTTGAGTAACGATGCACAGTTTCCCCAGTCTAGGTGCCAGTCGCGTTGAATTCAGTTTTGTAATCAGGATACCTTTCTATCTACCTGTCTGCCTATCTGTTCCATCTGACGCTCACCAAGATGGAGAACGAGTGAGAAGAAACGAGTACGTTAGGTAGGTCTTTTGGCACTCGTGGCCTGACCTGATGCTAAGTAGTCATCGTTTGAAGTTGCAAATTTCCTACATACCAGAGGAGCGTGAAGGGCGGAACCAGAGGAACCTTACTGAGATCCACTATCCATCTTATTTGTTGGTCCTCACTTCAATATTGGTATGTGCCTGTCTGGCCTTGGGTGGTTGGTTGGGTGAGCCGGAATCTCCGGTTCAGTGGTTACGTTACTGACCTCGGAGCCAGGGCCCCAGAGCGTGCTCGGACATGGTTATCTGTCGAGGCAGAGGTTTGAGAGGTTTCTTTCTCCGAGGGTTAAGTCGAGGGAAGGGGAAGTAAGCCAAGTCCGTCCAGAGGGGGGGGGGGGGTTAGTGGTTAGTGGTTATTCACCTTGCATACCCGTGTTAATGTATACTATCTACCCAAGGTAGGTGACTAGATGACTAGACGACGGCAAGTTGATGAACAAACTAATGAGTGCTCGTGACAGTCAAAACAGGCAAGTGGATGGGATGAGTGGGCGGGTTGATAGGGTGATATAACCAACGTTCTAGCATACTTTTGAGCCAGCCGGTCGTCGCCTCATCTCACATGATGGGATGGTCCGGTCGGGTCGCTTGTTGTAAGAGAGATACGAGGTAGATAACTCTCGATTTTGACAAACCTTTTCGTTTGGCGGCGATGGCGGCAGCGGTAGTGGCGGCGTGTTTTACTTGCGTGCTGTAAGTAATTGGTTTCGCCTGGCTCTTTGGCACTCTTGGGCCCCCTTGCTTGCTAGTGATGGATGGGGGAAAACCACTTACCATATTACCGCAAGAAGCCGAAGGGGGCGCCGAACGGCGCCTTTGTCCTCCAAGCAGACGTTGTGGATGTTAATGTCAATGACGGTTGAGCCTTGCCTTGCCTTACGGTGGTCCGGTGGGTGGGTGAGCGGGGGGTGAGTGGGCTCCAAGATGTTCCATGTACACGTCCCTTCCGTGCCTCTATGAACTGTACATTGCCGCAGAGGTTCAGCAATTGTCGGTGTGTCTGTGTCGATGTCAAGGGCCCAAGCCCAAGCCCAAGCCGATGCCCCAGTGCTTGACCTCCAGCCGCGGGGTGGTGAGCTCAGCATCACTATGCAACGAGTATGGCTCGCTCGTCAACATCACGTCCTAAAATCGCTCTCAGCTCATGAGATAGTGAGAGGGTGAGAGACCTCCGGTGAGGACACACTCCATCAGACCGAACCTGTTCGGTCGTCAGGGTCAGACACATAGCCAGGGAGGGAGGTAGGTAGGTACATACCTCAGGCAAGGTATTGCGGAGCCATTTCACTCATGGAGCCAATGGAGCCTGCCAACCCATCTACCTGGTCCGACCAAACGGGCCATTTACCAGTATGTATTCAAGTATGCACGTATATTGAGAGTGAGTGACTCCTGACCATTCACTCATTCGTTCACACATTCACTAGTACCTAGGTAGTGTATCAGATACCGATCTTGGAAGGAAACCCATCCTCCCGTTACTATGGATTCCAATTCAAGAACGCCTACCGGGGCCACAGAGGGTTTAGTTACTAACTGCATTGGGACGGGTCGAATTGACTTTGGGAGATGTTGGTTCTGTGATATGTGCCTCGTATGCATGGCCGGTCTTCTAGAGTGTGGAGTTGGTGGAACGACAGGCTGGCACAAGTAATTGCTTCTAAACTCGGGTGAGAAGTCATCGTGCATACTTGGATCACAATAGTCGTATACCGAGATACCCGTTTCAGTCTCGAGTGGCCTTATAAAGATAAACGTATTATCATGGTGTTTATTTGTAAAACAATAGGTAATTCCATAGTAGTCCCTCGCTAGTACTACAGTCCTACTCCAGTTGTACGTACGTACATGCTTATAAGGGTATGTTCATATTCATGTTCATGCTGTTATCTGCTGTCCACATAATCGCAGTACCGACGTGTTGCCCGTGTCACCTCGCATCTCCTGGGCCCTGGTGCCCTGATAATAGCTTTTGATAGGTTCGCATGCCAGACTTGAGCTTTAAAACGTTGAATGGTGAATTATGCAGGTGATATCCATGTTTAGTTAGGATATACATCTCCGTGACAAAGAATTGCCTAAATCTCAGCGAGAGAGAGACAAAAGAGAACCAAGTATCTGATTTACCCGAGGGCAGCTCGGTGGTGGTGATGTTCTTCTTCGTTAATTACTACCCTCCCGGTTTTCGGCCGTACACAAAATGAAAGTTGACGTAGAGATGGTTGTGGAAATCCTGCAGTTCTCGGAGGACGTGCGCCACGAGCACACGGCACTCGTCTTCAGACCATCCCCGGTAACGGGTGAGAAAACCCAGGGCAAAGGGCTCGATGGCCGAGCAGACCTGTCCGAGCTGGTATTTTCCAAGTGTCTTGAGCTTCGGGTCGCGTGGCCATACACCGACAGGGACCTGCAACGAGGTATGAGATACGTTTGGCGACCAGAGTACCCAGAAGGTAGGATGAAACGAGAACAACTCACTTTGTAGATATCATCTCGGACGTCGACAAAGCCTGCATTACTCATGCGTTCTCTCTGCTCTTTGGCCACGTCGAGATCCTTACCAAACACCTTGCTGCCCTCGTTCACTTCGTCTTGCCATCGTTTCAGATACGGCACCCGGGTGAGCTCGGGATCGTCGTCCGATTTGAGGTGAGTCTCGTACTCCTGCACCTCGAGCCACCCGCCTGGGTTCAACGATCGTATCGCCTGCTGGTATAACCTGTCCCAGTCTTTGATGCTGCCGACCATGGTGCGGCCGTGGATGAAGTCGTATCGCTCAGCCTCGGTGGTTGCCTCGACCCAGTCGCTCTCGACGTCATCCACGTAAAACCTGACATTCGGAGGCACCACATCCGGTTGGATAGGGCTGAGGTCTGTGCCAATCACCGAGGCCATGGGAAATTCATCCGCAAAATCGACGGCCCAGATGCCAGTGCCGGTGCCAAAATCGAGCACCCGCTGCGGACTCGCCAATATTGGTGCGCGAAAAAGTCGGCCGTCTAAAGTCAGTCGGAAGACGTGGTGGAGGAGATCAAGGCGGGCTTGTTCCAGTTCATCGTTGGGGAGAGTGTATGCGCCTTGACGGTATGCATGGTACCGTCGGCCATGTTCGTAATGGTATTTGTATACTGAGGATGCCAAAGATGTGCTGGCCGCTGTGGCGTCGTCGCCCAAGGTGGAGTCTACATCGCTCGGTTCATTTGACTATCAGAAGAGATCAGCCATGATGTGTGTGTAACAAGGTGCGGAATGAGGTGCGGAGAAGGGAAACTTGGTCAGTCTCACGTCTGGCTGGATCTCTGCATCTGGATCTGGTGCAGCTGGTTGTTCGACGGTGGCGCCCGGCTCCAATGAGTGTTCGGGAGATTGCTTGGTTGTGTCACTCATATTCGAGTCTTAGTGCAGCCTTGTTCACCCTTTCAGTGGAGGCTTGGATTGTGTTCGACGGGCGGCGGGGAAGTTCGTGGAAGAACGGGCCGCACGGCGCAGAGGGCATTTGTACTTGTAGGCGAAGCCGGTGGATGGTGGTAGTTTGCACACAAAGCTGCTCAAGGACGCGGTACGGTCCGCCCAGTTCTTTTAGGTACTACCACTACTGCCGACTAACTATGCTTCCGTTGGGGGTATATTGGGGGTTGGAGCGTTAGTGCATCGTGAAACCTCTAGGCGCATATCTGCGCTTCCTGAAGGCCTGTCGTGCACCCGCAGGCTAGCCTAACACATTCCATGACCACCACGACCTGCCTATCTCTCGCTATACTTGTCGGCATCGGGGATCAACCCCCACGATTGCGTGAGAATCGGCCATGTCCATCCATCCATTGGTGCCACCCAATTCATCTTGTCTGCGTGCGTCTCCATCGAGAACAGACTAAATCCAACACGTTTAACATGTCCAGACGCAGTGGAGGCATTCAGGTCATGTCGGTTCTGCTCATCTCGTGGTAATGGATCCTTCTTAGACCTCTCCATTATTCATTCGTTCAATCCTGCCACTACCTTGGTCTGCGAATCTTGAACCATGGCCTCTTCAACCCTTGATGGGTTTGCCCTGAGCTCCCTGACAACTACCGTGGCCATCCTGGTTACCACATGGCTCCTCTATCTGATGTCACTTGCTCTGAACCGGCTGTATCTGTCGCCGCTCGCAAATTTTCCTGGGCCAAAAGCTGCCGCCCTATCACGATGGTACGAGCTCTACTACGAGGTCGTCCTGAAAGGCCAGTACTCGAGGAGGATAGATGAGATGCATCAGCAATATGGTGAGTCGACTTCGGGTATAACAGTCACCAAACGAGTCAACTAACATGCATCCAGGCCCTATTGTTCGAGTCGCCCCGGATGAGCTCCATATCAAGGACAGCGACTTTTTTGACGAGCTATATGTCAAAGTTCCACGGGTAGACAAGCACGACTGGGCAGCTGGGAGGTTTGGGAATCATGGCTCTATCATCACTACCGCAGACTACGCTCTACATCGTCGTCGTCGTGCAGCCCTCAACCCCTTGTGAGCTTTCCAGGGTACATGCGGAGCGATAGCTCTTTGGACACGGTTAAGAAGATTCTAACCTGAAGGTAGCTTTTCTAAACGGTCAATCATGGACTTCCAACCAGTGATTCGACAGAAGGTTGAGCAATTAAGCAGGACACTGCGTGAGTATAAAGCAAAAGGCGAGCCGGTGGTTCTGAGCGAGGCATTTCCAGCCTTTGCGGGCGACATTATCACAGAATACTCGTTTGGAATCTGCTACGATCATTTGGGTTCTCCGGGGTTTTCAGAGTCTTTCCATGCCGCATTCATGGCTGTCGGCGAGTTCGGCCATGTCGCAGTCCAATTCCCTTGGTTTCACCCAGTGAGTCCCCCCCTTTGGTGCTCAAACAGCTCCACGAATGCTGACATAGACATAAGCTCTTGAATTCTCTTCCGGATAGCCTAGTTCGCAAAATGCAGCCAGCTCTAGGGTCTCTCCTGCAGCTTCAGATGGTGAGTCGGGCACATCAAGCCCTCGGAATTGGGGTTCCTCTAAACGTTGCCATATAGGATTTACGAAATATGATCAAGCGACTGACAGAAGGGGACGAACTTGGGGAGGGGAAGGTTTCTCATCGCACTATATTTCATGACCTGCTTCAAAGTGCCCTCCCACCCGAGGACAAGGGAAATCGCCGCATGGCAGACGAGGCCCAAACCGTTATTGGAGGCGGTCTCGAGACGACTGCGTGGGCGTTGAGCGTGGCGTCATTCCACATTGTGAACACCCCTCGAATTTACAAGCGATTACACGAGGAGCTCGTTCAAGTGATGCCCGACACATCCTCCATTCCAGATCTGTTAGAGGTCGAAAAGTTGCCCTACCTTCGAGCCTGCATCACAGAAGCCGTCCGCCTTTCGTATGGCATCTCTGCACGGAATCCTCGAGTGCTCAACCAATCTCTCCAATACAAGCAGTGGACCATACCTCCACGAACCGTTGTCGGCATGTCGATTGTGGATGTCCATCACGACGAGAATATCTTCCCCGACTCCCACTCATATATTCCAGAGCGATGGCTGGGGAATCCGAAGGCACCTAACGGGTCTCCACTTGATCGTTACTTTGTTGGATTTGGGAAAGGAAGCAGGAGCTGCCTCGGGATTAAGTACGTATCATCACTGTGGTCGCATTGCTTCTTCAATCACCCTTGAGCTGATTTCTTGCTAGTCTAGCGTATGCCGAACTATTCCTTCTCATGGCCGCTCTTTTCCGACGGTTTCGCTTTGAATTGTTCGAGACTGACAAGTCGGATGTCGAGTTGGAGCATGATTTCTTCCTGCCGAGTCCAAAGCTAGATTCCAAGGGCGTGCGGGTCAAGGTTGTTGAGGTCTTTGAGTGAATTGATGACAGTGACTGACCCGGCACCATATGGTGGTATATATCATATTTATCCTTGGTCTCAGCCAACCTCTCTCCCTTGTTCATCATATACACAAATCTGAATGATCTGAAATGGCCCTTCTCCTCCGATAGTATCAGTGTCAAACCGACGAGACAGTTAACCGTGCTTAGTCACTCGCTACGGTTGCGCGTCGCGTCGCCCCAAGCGAGCCAAGTTCCGACACCTTAAGAGAGAATGACGATGTACTCGGCAATGAGTCCCTACCGTCTGTACAGTCTGTCTCAATTCTGCGAGCTCAACAATTGAATGGGAGGCGGAACGATCGGGGCAAGTCTTGGCTAGCTACCGGACGCGAACTACATGCTTGGTGTGTACAAAAACTTGTACTTGTGCATGAAATCCTTGCTCTTTACGGTGCGGATCGTTCCTTGGTCGTTCATTTCCGCTTCTCTAATTCCTTGTCAGAAACCCGATTAGCCAGTTAGCGAGCTACAACTGGCAGAGCAATCTGCAAGGATACGACAAGATCCCGGACCCTTTGAACCTACAGTACCGACCCAGTGATGGAGACTCAGGAACCCTCGATGCAGCAGCCGGGGATGACGGCTTCATCTCCGCGCTTTGACACGGCATACATCGACCAGGTCTCGCAGGGACGACGCAGCCTCAGCACGCCTCTTATCGAGCCCTTGATCACTGGGACGGGCGCCAGCATCTACAGATCCAAGATAATCCCTGCCATACGAGCCGCGCAGTCCGAGATTGTGCTGGTGACGTGCTTCTGGGCCTCGTCCGTGACCCGTGTACAACTCTGCGAAGCGCTCAAAGACCTGTCCAGGCGTGTGCTGGCTTCGTCGTCGTCGTCGTCGTCTCCGAGAAAGGTATCAGTGCAGATATGTTTTTCCTCGAGCTCGCTGGCGCGCAATATGCTCCTACCAACGCCTTCGGACGGCCAGGTCTACGGCCCTGAGAGCTGGGGAAAACTGGGCCTCCCGGGACCCGACGAGATCAGAGGCTTGAATTTGCGGGTGGTGCGCAAGTTCTTCTGGCCTTGGGGCATCGTCCATTCGAAGTATGTCATTGTTGATCGAAAGCTTGCCATCTTTCCCTCGTGCAATGTCTCGTGGGAGCGATGGTTCGAGGTTGCCATATCCTTCACGGGGCCGGTTGTCGACCATTTACTGCACTTCCATACGGATTTCTGGGACAAAGGGAGGCGGCCGGTGCCGCCATCACCGCCACCTCCAGATGTTCGTGCCACCACCTCGCTCACAGATGAGGCTACCGCTACAACGGTCCCGGTAACCCTGCTGCCCTCGCCACACACGCCGGCCAAGGTTCCAAACCACCTCCACCCGCGCGTCCTGCTCGGCCAAGTCATCCCATGCATCCCCACCGCCGGACCACTCCCGTTCCCCCCCACGCCGTTGTTGCAGACCACTCACCACCTGCTCTCGACGGCACAGTCTAGGATCGTCCTGCTGACACCTAACCTGACCGAGCCGACCGTGGTGGAGTCCCTCGTCGACGCCCTGGGGAGGGGCGTCCAGGTCTGCATCTGGACCAACCGCACCCTGATGACCGTGGAGCAGATGGTCACGGCGGGCACGACTACGCCGAGCTGTGTCCAGAGACTCGTCGACAGGGCTTTGCACCTAGGACGGTCTGCGCTGCTCGAAACATCCTTTTTCGACGCCGACGACGGGCCCGGTGTTTCGCCACAAGGGCGTGGGCGAGGCCTGGAGGGAGATGATGAAGAGCAAGACCAAGAGTCCATCCCCGTCAAGCTGCACGCCAAGGTGACCATTGTCGACGACGAGCGCATCCTGTTGGGGAGCGGCAACATGGACGCGGCGAGTTGGCGGACCAGTCAGGAATTGGGCGTGCTGGTCGAGAGTCGCGAGGTTGTTGACGAGTTCAAGAGGTTGTGGAGATACAGCAAGCTCTGAAAACTCCACGTGTCTGAAGTGGTGAGGACAGGCCGGCCTTTTTTTCTATCTTCCAGGAAAAGGATGATCTTTTAATCCAGTCGACTGGCTTTTGTCGAATTCTTACTTGTCCGAACGAGCCTTGAATCCTCCTGTGAGAATGAGCGGTTCCTTCGCGAAAGAGCTATGGGGCCTTCTCAACGGGATACTTCATCCCATGCTGTACCCTCCGATTCACCACGGTCTGCTTTTCTAAGGGTTTGATCTATCATGAACAAGATATACGCTGATGACGATCCGCTGGGGGCAGGAACATTACAGTCTACGACGACCAGAAATACATCACAAAATTTTGTCTGGAATCGCGATGGCTTTGAAGAATCCTTACATACATACATGCATTTGCATGTGCATATTCAGACTGTCGTCTGCAAGGCGCTTGCCTGTACGTGTACCCAGCAGAAAGGTGTGAAGGGGATATCTCTTTACCCACGTCACGAGACGTGTGTGTCGAGGGTTGAACAAAAGCCAGGAAGGAGCACCAACACCAGCACCAGCACTGTCAACATACAAGGGCCGAAATTTGGTCGGTCAGTTCTTGGTCCCTCTCCGAAGAAGCATCAACGGTTTCCCAGCCTGGACCACGTCGTTTGGCTTGACGAGCAACTTCTCGACCGTGGCGCCCTCCATACTCTGCTCGGCCTTGACGGGGATTTCGAGCTTCATGGCCTCGAGGATCGAGACGACCTGCTCGAGCTTGACCGTGTCGCCTTCCTTGACCTCGACTTTCCACACGTTGGCGTTCAGGGGAGCTTCGACGGGGATGATTTCCGGGTCTGAAACACGCACACACAAGGAAAAAAGTTCAGTCTTTGGTAGATATTTCACTGGGAGGGGGAGGAGAAGAAGAAGACGAAGAAAATGATGTGGGGTGGGGAAGGAGACATGTACATACCATGCAGCAGCTCCTCGACGGTGTCCATGCTGATTTTGCCGGCTTCCTTCTCCTTGCTCCATTTCTCGAGGAGTTCCTTCTCCAGCTTGTCCATTTCGGCCTGTGCCTGGCGCTGCCGGGCTCGGATCTGGGCGACCTCGTCCTTGGTCTCCCTCAGGAGCTCGTTGTGCTCCTTCATGTCGAACTCGGTGTCCTCGTACTCGTACTCGTAGCGGCCGCTGCGGAACGTTGCCATGAGCCCTTCGTACTCGTCCTCGGTCACCTCGTAGAAGGTGATCTGGTCAAAGTCCTCAAACAGCCACGGCTTCTCCGCGCTGTAGCCTCTCTTGAACCCGAGAATGTCGGCGCCCGGGATCGAGAGGCCCGTGTTCATGTACCCGCCGGGCGACTCGACGTTGTATAGTGCCATGCATGACCCACCCCAACCGACTTGTCCTTCTGGGGTGTGTACCCGGGACGGGTTCATCTTGGGACACTGGATGCGTTGACGCGGATCGATCGGCAGAGCTATGGGCAGTGCCACAAAGAACCCGACCGCAACCACCATCAACGATGATTTTGTGTATATATCTCGAAGCTTACGACCGTGTTAGAGAGAACCTAGAGTGCACAGAAAGCAATATACTTACTTGTTGAAGCGTAAATGCGTTGTTCTTGGCCACAAACTCCATCGGATCCGGTAGGTACGAGGCATACGGTCTCTGCGTCTCCATGTACCTCTGTAGGCTTTCCTTCTGCCTCTTGCTCTGGAATGTGATGGGGAGTTTATACTTGCGACTTGGAAACTTGGCTTCGCTGAGATCGCCGAGTTCCTTTTCGAGCTGGAGGAGATAATCCAGCATCTTCTGGCGGGGCACCTTTGTCGAGTCGTAGTAGAGCATGAGGGAATTACCGCACGCCATTCCCGTATGCATATCGCCGTTGGAGAACGAGATCTCGCCCGTGTTCTCCCGCAGCTTTCGATACAGTGCGACCGCGCGGCAGCGGTAGTTGAGGTCGAAGGAGCCGTGGCCGTAGTCGATCAGGATGAAGTCGTCGCCGCCCTGTCGATACGACACGAGCGGTTGGTTGCCGTGTTCCTCGATCTTGTGGATAATCGCTGGCTCCCACCCTTTCTTCTCGGAGGAGGGTGGAAGTCCCTCGTACTTGAGCGGTGAAACATTGTCAAAGCTGCCTTTCCCCTGGCAACAGTCGTGGATAGAGCCTAGGAAATCTTCAACTTCCTTGCGCTTTGCAATGGCGTCCTGGTACGACACCCTCTTGAATCGCAGCTTGTTGCCAGCCTTCATCTGCCCGAGTCTCCAGTACTCGGCCTTCACGATTGTTGTCGCCGACACAAACCCTCCGAAGTCGGGCGCGTCGATGGGGAACAGGCACGGGTCATCGCCGGTCCAGTTCACAGTGCCGATGGGGTATCCGTATTCGATGACATTTGAAGGATGTGCACCACCCTCCCCTCCGTCAGGACGTGCCCATTTGGGTTTCGGACCAATCAGCCGAATGCCCCCTCGAGCGGCATTGTGTGAAATCGTCCAGGTGCTGTCGTAGAACTCTTCAATGGACTCGTTGGTGACGAAGCCCTCATCGTAGGGCCCAGGCATGGCCAAAAGATCCCATTCCTCTGGGTACGACGGTCTCAGATTCTGTGGCAGTGACAGCTCGCCACTGACATCTGGTAAATCGGTCGTAATTACCAAGAAATCGCCAGCCGCGAGGGCCCTCCCCTGATAGCCACCGACAGCAGTCATCGGCGCCGTTGCCTTTGAGCCGAACCACGTTGCAATGCTCGGGAGACCTCCGTATATTGCCAAATACGATCGACATCCGCCTCCTGTTGTCTTGCCGATCGTGAGTCGCTGGCCAGCTTGGATCTTCAGCCGCGTCCACATGGGTGCATCCTTGCCGTCGAGCTTGACCTCCATCGGAGCACCGCAGATGGCGATAATGGCTGGCCCGAGGAATTTCAGGTCCGGTCCACTCAAGGTGATCTCAATGCCCTCCTTGCCAGGAGGATTGCCGACGAGTGCGTTGGCTATTCGGAACGCCAGAGGATCCATGGGACCGGAGTGTGAAAACCCTCTTCCGATGGTAGGGCGGCCCGGCCAGTCTTCGATCAAGGTATACGCGCCCCCCTGTAAGACATCTATTGCCGCAGGTTGAAATTTGAACGTCTCGAGGAATTTTGTCATCGTATTGCCGGATCTGAACGTGCTATCTTTCAAGATGGCCTCCAGGAACTCGATGTTTGTAGGTGGCCCAAATATCTTGGAGCCTTCCAGCATTTCACACATCAGTCTAAGGGCTTCGGGACGGTCTGATGCATGAACCATGACTTTTGCCAGTAAGGGATCGTAAAATGAAGTGACCTTAGTCCCTGTATGGATCCAACCGTCGATTCGAGAACCCGGAACTTCTTTCCAAGACACATGCTGTAGTGTGCCTGGTGATGGAGCAAAGTCCTTTGCCGGATTTTCTGCGTACACCCGTACCTCAATGGCTGCTCCTGAAGGACCCTTGGGCTGAAGACTGCTCAGGTATCCGCCATCAAGTCCGCCCTTACCAGACAGCTCTGCGTCGGCTTGCTTCAACATCAATTCCACCAGATCGATTCCATAGCACATCTCCGTAATGCCGTGTTCTACCTGCAAACGTGTATTCATCTCGAGAAAGAAGAAAGCGCCTGATTCGTCGTCCACGAGAAACTCGATGGTCCCGGCGGAACCATAGTTGATCGAGGCCGCCAGACGGACAGCCGCTGACCCTAGCTTTTCACGGAGTTCGGGGTGTTTCTCGACGAACGGGCTGGGGCATTCTTCAATCACCTTCTGGTGTCGCCGTTGAATCGAGCATTCGCGCTCTCCAAAATGTATCGCTTCACCGAGTCCATTGCCGAAGACCTGGACTTCGATATGATGTGATGAAGGGTAGAACCTCTCCATGAAGACGCCCGAGTTCTTGAAGAGAGTCTCACCACGCGATTGAACTGTCTTGAATGACTGACGGACTTCTGTTTCGTCCTTGCATGTCAACAAGCCCATACCGCCTCCGCCGGCGGTAGCTTTGAGTATGATCTGGAGGTGTCAGTAGATACACCAGTTCGAAGAGTCGTGCCTACCGGGAAACCCAATTTCTTTGCCTCCTCAACTGCTTCATCCTCTGACTTGACAAGACCTTTAGTTCCTGGGACGATAGGGACGTCGGCTTTTGAAGCAAGTTCACGAGCTGTGTGTTTGATGCCAAAGTCCTCTATACACTTTGGACTTGGACCGACAAACACCATCCCCGCCTCGGTGACATGCCTGGCGAAGTCGGTGTTCTCAGACAGGAATCCATAACCAGGAATGACCGCGTCGGCTCCCTTGGATTTTGCGATGTCGATAATTTGCTGTGTATCGATGTAGCCTTTGGCATCTGGCCCGGTGAGCAAAACAGCTTCATCCGCAGCCCCTACGTGTGCCGAGGCGGCGTCTGCTCCCGTGTAAATGGAAATAGTCTTGAGCCCAAGCTTGCGGGCTGTCTTGCATATCCGCACCGCTATCTCTCCTCGATTCGCAACCAGCAATGTCTTTAATTTCTCCATCTCACAATGACTGGTGATGAGAAACAAGCGGCAGCTGACGCACAGCTTTGCGGATGCGAAGGATCTTTGGCATTATCAAGCGGTGGTGTAATGGCTTGATATCAGTGGAAGCCACTTGCCGTTATTGGCCTGATGTGCAAGGATTCCCCAAAAATATCGATGAGGGGCTTGAGAGTTCATCGTTGCCTCCGCAAGTCGTTCTTCTCCGCCGTCATTAGTGACGTAGGATTGGATGGGCAAGATGGGCCGAGTGAAGTTCGTGGAGTGTTACTTCCATAGCTCCGGAGAATGAAGATAATGTAAGACACGACGCGTGGTTGCTCAAGACTTACACATTCTTCCCTTTTGATCAAAAAGTGTCTCGCCGTAGAAGATGGCGCCTCCACCAATCAAACACAAAGCCTTGCTGAATGTCGATCTGGGTGAAGGGGTAAGTGTGTTCCGTCAAGCCGTGGGCCGTTTCTGATCGCTGGCACAGTACGGCAATTATGTCTGCGGTCCAGATCTGGAGTTGCTGCCGTTGATTGACCACGCAAATGTCGCATGTGGCTTTCATGCGGGAGATCCGTTGATAATGCAGGAGACTGTGCGGAACTGTAAGAAGCACAATATCAAAGTCGGGGCACACCCTGGGCTTCCTGATATACAAGGTAAGCGACCGAAACCTGTTGAGTATAACCCGCCTCTAACACCACGTAGGTTTCGGTCGACGCGAGATCAAAATGTCTCCCGAGGAACTGACGGCCATCACTGTGTACCAAGTTGGTGCATTGAAGGGTTTCCTTGACCAGGAAGGCGTCCCTCTACATCATGTCAAACCCCACGGCATTCTGTACGGAATGATGTGCCGTGATTATGAGGTTGCCAAAGCCGTCATGCAAGGAATTCCCAAAGGAGTCCCGGTCTTCGGTCTTGCAGGGACGAACATGGAGAAGGCGGCCAACGATCTCGGGATCACCTTCTGGGCGGAAATGTATGGAGATGTGAAATACAGCAACGATGGCATGCTCGTCATTGACAGGAAGAAGAAGCCCTGGAATCTCGAAGATGTCAGGAAACATGTTAGTCAACAGCTCAATTCGCAATCCGTGACGGCCACAGATGGCAGTGTTGTTCAGTTGCCAGTCAAGGACTATCCGATATCCATATGTTGTCATTCAGACTCTCCCGGGTGCCTTGGAATCATCAGGACCACAAAGGAGGTGATTGATGAATTCAACAAGGAACATGGAAGGATATGAATGATGACCACAAGTCACGAATAAGATTTATACCTCGAAGTATTCTGGGCTCTTTCGTCCCAGTCTGGTTCATCTCCTCCCACTATTAGCGAGTGGTCTCAGAGCCAGAGAATACACACTCATTCAGTAGTTCAGTTCATTGTTAGTTTCGAATGAAGGAGCAAAAGCCACCAAAGTGCCGAGGAAGTTCTGAGGACGAACTGGAGATTACTTACAAAGGTAGCCAACGGACCAAACTCCCGGTCTCGACGATCTAGGAACAGAAGGAAACCAAAGCACAGGGTAATCACCTGTCTGATCTGGCCTACCTAGGTATTTAAGGAAGATAGGATAGGCCTGAGAGTATTCAATGGTGATGGAGAGTGGCTTGGTTGGTCCATTTTTCACTCTACGCTAAGCCGTTCTGGTTAGTACTCCACACAATGCTCCCCCGGAACAAAAATTACCCTTATATATTATTGTTACTCACTTTTCTCCAACAATTACCACAAATCATCCGCAGTGGTGTAATGGTAACATCTGTCGCTCTCACGCATCCAAGGATGTGAAATCCGACAAGCCCGGGGTTCAATTCCCCGCTGCGGAATTTCGAATTTCTTTTTTTTTTTCATGTTTTCTTTTCCATCATTTTTTTTCTATTTTATGTTTTTCGAAGAAATTAAGAGAGGCACGTTTCAAATTTTGGGATCGCAGTATTGTCACACTTTCTTTTTGATAGACTTTCGTCGCAAACACCAACACAAGCTGCAATTTGTTCGAATCCCCAGTTCAAGAGGTGGAAGACTTAATGCATTATGCTAGAAGAGGGTCGCTGGATCTCTGTAGGCACAGGAATGTTTTGCAGTCTAGTAGTGGTGGGGAAGGGAGCTCTGTCCCTATCATCAGCCCTTGCTGTCTTCCGTTGGCTCAATGGCTCAGAGACAACGACAATTTCACCATTCAACACCAACGCCAATGTCAAACCAAACCTCCATGCCATGTTTCTTAGTGCTTCCTTCCTTTCATTCGGCCGTTGTCTTGAATAAAGACCATCGACGACGGCTATTGAAGCCTGAATTGATCAGGCTGCTCGTTGCATATTCCGTCCCTCTTCCTGTTCCATGAGTTCGTTCGCCTGCCCACGACGGCAGTCTCCCATCAGATGTCCATATTTCGGTGTCGTATACCTCGCACAACACTCCGATGCCAACTAGTCATCCATCCTGGCACTCAATGATTTTGAAGAACACGTGCGACTGCGATCCCAAGGGTCATCGCTCAAGGTGGTCGAAAATGAAAGACGGAGGATTCTACACAACCAGGTAGGAGCGACGAGGTTGACATACTCGCATGCTGTGCGGAAAATACCACTGGCGCTTCAGCCCGAAGATCAAGCGTGATTGTGGTGCTAGTGGTTGCAAGGCCACCATGATCGTTGAGATGCAAAAGACAGAACACAGAGAGATAGCCATGAGACATAGTCTGCCCCAGGGTGACGATAGCAGACACCTTACTGAAGACGGATCGATTCGCCTCGAAGCCTTCTATGGAGTGGAGAGACCAACAGCTCGCTGGATCGGTTGAGCCGTGTAGATCCTGAACAACCACCCCTATCTGGCCTACTGAGCAGCCTTTCTATCCCACCATCTTTGCAAGACAGCACTCTCGATACCTTGTCCAGGCGCCTTCTCCAGCGACATGTTCTATCCTTGGTTCCGAATGTCGGAGACGCATAGAGTGAGTGCTCCAGGTTTTTCCTCTCCCCCGGATGCTTTCCCCAGTCAGTAAATCCCTGCTGAATTGGACATGGCTCTGAGATCAACTGTACCACCACGAGAACAAGTACGTCCGAGTTTGTCAGCATGCACTTGATGGTGGCCAGGCCTGTCAGGGTCGAGCAAGTCATTAATAACGCCGCTGAGCCTTATTTTCCCGTACGCCAGGGCCAATACGACGTTCCAACAGTCCACCCCCAGCACAAACGCAAACAATACCCCGCCACAAGCCACTATCAACTGCGATGACGGGCGAGAGGGGCCGGCAATTGGCTGCGGGAGAGAATCGGAGGGCTTCCAGAAGGTGACCTGCGGCGGCATAAGCAGCCACCTACGACGACGCCGCGACACTTAGCGTACTCGGACATGTCCACCATCACCCACCAAATGCCCACCACAACCAATGCTCGATGGTCTTGTGGGAACCAACTTCCGCAAAGAGGCGCAAAGGCGAGAATGCCCATGTCCAAATGTCGTGGGAAGGGCGTGCAGAGCCAAGGCTCTGACACCACCCGTTGGTGCCGTTGACCTTCACCTCGAGGCCTGCCTGAGGAGTCATACACCCTATCCACCGATCTTCGGAGATTCGTGTTCTGCTCCGAGGAGAAGGCTGAGGATCTGACAAAAGGTACCTTCTGGACGTCTTCTCATCCTTCCATCACTCCTTCCATTGGTATCCCACTGTAAGTCCTTGCTCCTCGTCCCCAGTCTCGAGGATCGCAGGTGTAAACCATGGAGTACTTCGATTTTGACGACGCCTCTCATGCGATTCCCACCTTGGACCTTGACGATTGTTCGTCAATCGCAGGTGAGGCATGTGAGGCGGACGCCACTGACTGCTATGAGTCGCTCTTTTTCGACAAATCAGCGGCACTCCCAACAAGTCGACCGGCGGCCATCAAAATTGTGAAACTCAAACTAATCAACAATGTCGAAATTGAGGCCATCCCACATCCTTCCGACATCACTGCGGAATACCCAATGTTTCGTGCCAAAGAGCCGTGCGATCTTTGCGCGAGAATGGGTCTCGATTGCTTCTTGGCTACAAGAGGTGCACTGGTCGCAGGCTGCACCTGTTGTATCTCTCTGTACCGAGAGTGCAGCTTCGTCCATCCAAAAATCCCCAAGGGCTTTGTTAACACTTTAACGGGAATTGCTGAAGACCAGCAAATCATAGAAGGGTCGTTGACTGAACGGAGGAGGGCCATGAAGTCAATGGAAGAAGGCCGCGGCCGGAAGACTGGTGCTCGGTTTCCGCGTGATGCTGTCAAGATACTGAAGCAGTGGCTTGCTGAACATGCTGATCATCCGTATCCCAACGAGCGAGAAAAGGACGAGCTCAAGCAAGTCACCGGCCTCAAAAGAAGCCAGATCTCCAATTGGCTGGCCAATGCACGACGACGAGGCAAGGTCAGGCCTGCCGAATCTGGTCCATCCTCACCCATGCTGGGGGCAATTGATATCCCTCACAGGGTTGACAACCCGGACATTGCAGATCTCAACCCCCTAGACAGATGGAAAGCTTCACCACCTGAACACGAACCTGCATCCATGACTGCCATTGCTCGAGCCGTCACTTCCACCCCCCTACCAGTTCGCAATCCATCTCTGCCCAGTATTCATGGCTCCAGGCCAAGCTCGAAGAGGGCGTCGAGCGAAGACGATTCGTCCTTTTCCATGTTCCGTGCGCCGTCGGTGAGCAGTTTTGGAACCAGGGAATCCAGCAATTCCGATCTTACCTTTGCTTCCTCTCGGTCGAATCGGTCCAAAGGATCTTTTGCATCGTCCCAAGATCGACGCAGGCGTAGGCGAGCTCCCGTGGCTCAACGAACAGCTGCGCAACAGGCTAAATCCAGGGCTGCGAGGATATTCCAATGCACATTCTGTACAGATTCTTTTCCCGCCAAGTATGACTGGCAGAGGCATGAAAAGTCTCTCCATCTTGCTCTGGAGCGGTGGACATGTTGTCCTAATGGTGGTACAATGAACGATGCACTGACCGGAATGGTACTTTGCGTCTTCTGCCGCGAAGCCAACCCATCTACGGATCACTTGGAGTCGCACAATTTCACCGCATGCCAAGAGAAGACATTGCAAGAACGCACCTTTTATCGGAAGGATCACCTCAGCCAGCATCTGAAATTGATGCACAATGCAAAAGTCCAATCTCACATGGATACCTGGAAGAGCACCACCAACGAGATCAAGTCTTCTTGCGGCTTCTGCCCGTCCAAGTTCACCACTTGGCAACAACGAGCAGATCATCTCGCTGCTCATTTCCGGAATGGTTCGGACATGAACAACTGGAGCGGTGGATGGGGGTTTGAGCCATTTGTCGAAAGACTGGTCGAGAACGCCATCCCACCTTACCTCATCGGCCACGAGAGGACCACGATGGATCCGTACGTCGCCAGGTTGACGGCAACGCCGTCCGCCAATACCGACGGAGGATTGACCAACGGCACTTCCGCCGAAAGCACAGAACCTGATCAAATGACCCGAGATTCTAATTGCTGGGGAAGACTAGAGCAGGAATTGAGCAAATTTGTATCGCAACAAAGAGTGGCAGGTCGCCTTCCCTCAGATAAGGAGCTGCAGGATCAAGCTCGCATGATCATTTACGAGGATAACGATCCTTGGAACTGGACCTGTGCGGACAATCAGCAATGGCTCGACACTTTCAAGTATCAACAGGGTATTGGGAATGTCACAGACGCAATGATACCGACCCACACGCTAGCCGAAGTACCTATACTCGCTCCGTACGTGATCAAGGGCGGGCTGAAGTCGAAGCCCCCGACTGCTCAACATCAACGCAGGACGTTGAGCACTGATACCAACTCTTTCCCAGCCATGACACCTGACTGTGGGAGTGTCCCCAACTCGACCACGGCAGGAACATTTGACAACGGCATGGAGCTTGACTTTGACAGCATCGACTTTAGCAACCTCGATCTCGGAATGGTCGACGATTTGAACTTCGACCTGGGCCTCGACAACAGTCAGGGAGGGGGAATAGGCGTCTCGTTGGCGCCTTCAACGCCGTTCTCATCGAGTGTGCAGGCTGACTCTTTGTTCGGCTCATACGGGCTGAATCCCCAGATGGGCATGGGCATGGACATGAACCCCAAGGTGCCTCTTCAGCAACAGACACCACAGCCCAGCAGCAATGGTCAATTCATGAGCAGCCGAGACCTAAACCAGCTGTCCGGGTACGTCGCAGGGTTTAACTGACCTGTGAGATACACAAAGAGAGAGAGAAAGAGAGAGTGAGAGGAAGGCAAGGAATAGATTGGAAGGGTGGATATTGGAGAGTATTTCAACACTATAACGGACAGATAGATGACGACGACATTGGTCCATGCGTGAGATGTTGCATGCACTCACTCAACTGTCATGCGGAGGGCGCAGGGCTCAATCCAGGCAAAATAAGAACATGGCGCCATTGGCCCACAGACCAGGTCACCAGGTAACTACTACGACGAGCAGAATTAAAAAGTAATCAAATAACATTTTAATGAGAACGGGCTCTTTTGATCTTGTCACACTCTCCTGCTTTCGCACGCGCGCCCTGCGTCTGTCAACGCTTTGGTCGGCTTTCGGCCTTGTCGGGAAAAAAGAGATTCCGCTTCCGAACACACCACTCACTCACTCGTTCTTCGATCAAGAGCAAGGATGGGTGTGAATCCAATCCTGCATGGAATCAATCTCATGTACGTACGTGCTGGGAGTAGTTTCTTGGATGTGATGACCTCGAGGCACACAGAAGAGGATGAGAGGGTTGACAAATTATCACCAAGTAGACCGAGATAACGGGCGCAAGGCACAGGGCACGGGCACAGGCATGACTTGGCCATGCTCCGACAGAGGCAAAGAGGCTTAAACCCTCTACCGCCGGTTTATCTTCACATGTCAGAAATCCAATATGATTTTTTTTCTTTCCACTTGTTCCGCGTATCTGGTCTGGCCATCCACCCCCAAGCACGGCCCCAGCTCGTGCAGGCTCAACAAAACCACAAAAGGAGCTACTAACCACCTGGAGAACAAATCTTATCCTCTCATCCTCTCATACAGCCCACCGGCCTGCGTGCTATCTTGTCCCCTTTTCCAAGTTCGTCCTTGGCTTTCGCCTCGAGTATGCGGGACAATGTCGTGCATCATCGGATTATGTGCATGTGAAATGCCCACATGCCATCGTCGAGTACCTCACAACCTTCGCTCACATCATCTCCATGCTGCACCAACTTCCTGAGATTGCGCCTTCATATGAGCGCTTCTTACCCCAGAATTCAGCTTCTAGCTAGGACCTGCGGACAGAAAGAAACCCTACTTACCTCTCACGATCCTCCTTGACTTCCCTAAACGAACAGTCCCGAGGAACAGTCCCCCCATCCCCTGAACATTAGCGCTCAGAATGGCAAGCGTTGTCCCTCGACCTGATGCGAAGGTGTCTGAGCGAGAGCAGGTACATTGCGAACAGTTCTCCAGATCGACCATCTACACCATGATTCCCTCCATGGTCCGTTCGAAGATACCTGTTTTGACCTCTCTTCGGCATACTGCAAGGACGGTTGTCCTTCATGGCGCAAGTGTCCGTAGGAGAGCATACAACTTTTCCTGTGTCGAATCTACCAAAGAGAAGGACTATGAGGTCGCGTCGACTAGCAACTCCAGTGGAGCTACGACACCCATGATCAGAGCAGACAGCCCGGAAGGAGGCGTATCTCCACAAGATCTGGCTTTGAGAATGCTCCCACCCTTGGAGGCAAGATCAGGTGTAGACTGGGATGTTGCACTCACTGGGGTCAGGCTATGGGTCAATGCCAAAACCCAAGCAGAACAAGGAGGAGACCCGGTTGCGCTGCGGAGCATGCACATAGATGCGTTGCGGTATATGCACATGGCCCTTCCCTCAGATCTGACATTGCTCGAAATTCAGACTCTGCGGGCTAGCATGGCACCTCAACTCTTCACCCAAGAAGAAAACATCACAGACTGCCGTTCCCAACGACAGCCCAACATCCTCCGTCAAGGTGTTGCACATGCTGTATGCTGGCTTGTCGCTGGATTGCTGCTGGTTCTGCCGATTATCATGACCCTTCTCAATCGACTTCTCCAGTTTGAGCGCGAACATCAGGTCACCGAGCGAGTACTCGCCAATGGTCTTGACCTGACTTCGGCTCTTGGTGAGCGTGGTGTAGAGTTGCACCAGGCGATTGCTCGTTTCAAGGACGGACGGGTAGGAGGCGCTTGTGTGGATTTTGGAACGTGGTTCCTGGAAGGGATTGTTGGTGGCGTGAATGATGGCATTGATGCTGTGGCTCGAAATCGAAGAAAAGCGCCCGTCACAAATTATCCCAGCTGATGATATGCTTCGATGTTATGCATAGACCTGAACACTGTAGAATTGTAAGACACTCACATTCTTCATCTTGTCAAGTATAGGCGGTGATGGTGTCTTTCCGCTTCTCCCACATCTTCCACTTGACGCCCTGCAATCCAGGTGCCATACTCATCGGCGACCAACACAGCTCATTTCACTCGCCGAGCCACACAGGGCGCGGCTGGTGAGGCTCCCTCTCCAACCGCGCCGATAGGGCTTGAGGGTCCTTTGGGTCTCGGCGTGGGGCACGATGGAGGAGTTTGTCTCCGCCATTTCCAACTCAAATCTCCAACTCGCATTTCCTCTTTCACAACAATGTCCCTTCATTCTTTGCTTCCTTCCTTTCGAAGACAACAACTTGTGTTGGACTTGTGAGTGAGTCACTGAGACGCTGAGCACATGGACTGACACTTCTCCAAGCTCTGCTCTGAGAGGACATTGTCCAGACGGGCTTTATGTTTCACTTACTCCTGGCGACCCTTGTGTCTGGGCCGCTGTCATCTTCGTCCGCAAAGGTAGGTACCATCAGTCTTTCCACGCATTCGCATTTGCAATAGCATCATCAGAGCACTTCTTGGAAGCTGACATGAAGAGCTTAGGACCGTACGCAGGAGCGATTCTTCGCTTCCAGATCTCTTTTCCAGACACCTATCCCGATCTGCCTCCCCTCATCACCTTTTCGACAGACATCTTCCATCCTCTGATCGTGCCTCTGACTACATACACCTTTAGTGCCAGTAGTCTTGATGCATCAGGCACTGTCAGCGCTTCAGATGGATATCGCCTGCCCCCAGGAACATTCAGTTTGCGCTATGGATTTCCTCAGTGGTTCACAAGAAGCACTTCGTCAGAAGGCAGCTCTTTAAATGCAATCAAGCAGGGAGACTCACATCCTTTGGTTCATCGCAGTTCGACTTCTGACGGAAAGGCTGCTTCCGAAAGTCCTCATATTGATCCACGACCTCAAAATCGCGGCTTGATTATTTTGAACTTGCTTCAACACGTACAAGATGCTTTCGAAGACGAAGGGTTGCTGGACAGACTCCCTCTGGAAACTGTTGGAGACCCCAGTGCGTGGCACGCATGGCGCGCACACCGTGGACGCGTGGAGCGGCCTGTCGAGCCTCCGACGCCTGCAACCGAAGGCAAAGAAGCCGCTCCATCATCGCCAAAAAATCCCGGAGAATGGAAGTGGGACGGTGTCTGGGAGTCACGCGTGAGGAACGGTATCGAAGCCAGCATAAGTGAAGCAACCCTGTTTGGTAGCACTGCCGGTACTCGAGCTGGGCCTGCGGCGATGGACACCACAAGCATGGACCCCCACCAAAGAATCCTGGCTGCGGCTGATCGACAAATCCGTTTCTCCAAGCTGAGCGACGAACTTTTGGATAAGGTCAAAGACGAAATATCAGCCTCTGCCTCTGCCACGCCGACCTAAAGAGGAGATCCCGCAAACGTTGAAGGAGCCAATGAGAAAGTGATCAAGGTCGCCTGAATCTCTTGCCAGTCGAGCCTTGCGATCGCCGAGTTCCTGCACCAGCTATCATTGATAGTGCCTTCTCAATCTGCGACCGGAAGACACAAAAGCCTGTGGACGCTCTTACCGTGCCAACACAAGCATGTACCCAACATTTCATTCATCCGCAGCCTCATACCTTACTTCTCTCCCATACTGGTTATCCTGCACCGATAGTCCGTATGGTTGCTGCTTTGGTTTTGCATCACAAGCCACATGAAATATAGCGTGTATGGCTTCCTCATATGACTGATGCACTGAAGAACGACGAAATTGTCAACCCAAACGGCACGGTGTTCGGCATACTCATCCTCGGAATTGTTACATTGCTCGTTGACGTCGAAACTTCCTCGCTCTTCGGCATATTGGCATATCCCGAGCCTGCCAGGTACTGAGTGTTACACATACCTGTACCGACCTGCGAAAAGCACCAGCTCCCTAACTTGTGTCGAGGCCAACGCTGGTTCCTCGACCGTCTCCTTCGAATCACTCCCCCAATACGTCGACTACTGCCTGGACATCTGGCAAATCGAGAAGACAAGGGCTCTGTGATCCACACAACGCTCCTCTCCCCGAGGAGAAACCTTAAATGTATATAAAAATTAGCAACTGGTTGATCAACGGATGTTGGGCTCCGCTGCAAGGAGCGTTTGTGTGTTGTTTGTGAATGAGTGTGCGCGAGAAAGAGGACGAGTTTTGGCGACAGCGCTGCTTGTTGGTAGCGCCAGAGCCAGTGAGCAAAGATAGTAGAAGGTGGCATCTTATTTAGCCATCGGCGGCCTTGAAGTTTTGGGACTCTGTGACTATCATGGACAGAGAAGATATCGACGCGACCCCAAGGGTTCTGAGAGTGAGAAATCCGGAGTCGCAGGAGAAAGCAGAGGATGTGGATGGCTTATCACAGTTTGACGATGACAAGGCTGCGAAGTTCTCCCTGAGGTCAATTTCGGCTTCACTGTCTTCGATCTGGGCCAGGAGGAAAGCCAGTACCAGCACCTCCTGTTCTCAGTCCGAGTCCAGCCAAGACCAAAGTTGGTCTGTCGCACCCGATCTGAATTTGGACCTGGACGACAGTCTACCTTCACGCAGCTGTGTCTCCTTCTCAACCTTTACTACCCGCAAATCTTCCTCTCGAGCGCTCAAGAAGAAGAGGCTGAGCTCCGAGAAGGACATCAAGGTAAGCAAGCACCTTTCCTCAGGCGTTGTGACCTCTTCACAAAGGATTTCCTGGGCTAAACTACCATAGACTTCTTCACAGACTTGCCCTTCTGTTTCCAAGCCAACTTACCGTCATCTCATCCATCCACAAACAGTTCACAGGCGATTTCCCATAGACGTGGAAGACGAGGTATGTAGCCGACAGGAGTCTAAGTCTCGTCATCGTCTGAACTCCCAACTGATCATATTTTAACAGTCCTCATTGTACAGCTTTGCATCTTTCTCCACCGATCATTCCTCAAGACACTCAAGAAGGCCCCGTCACGATCCAGCGAAGAGGCAGCCATACGCCGTCGGACAGACAATCTCATCAACCATGGCGTCAAATCTTCCCAACGGGGTCTACATGAATGGTTTCGCAACTGACGAGGAGAGACGAGCTATGGCACCGAATAATCACGTCAATGCCCATGCTGTTCAAGCACCCACCTTTCAAGACATCTTACATCTCCGTGACGCTCTCGCAGACGAGGCTTTTGAAACACCGTCTTTCCGGACTCCTGCTTACCAACATGGGCCAGTAGTCAACGGGGAGACAGTACCGTCCGCTCCACCTCCCACTCTTGCCAGCGCAATTCACACCCAAGAGTCTGTTGATACCCCCATCAACCATGATCATATCCGGCCTCAGTCCGATGTCGGTCATTTTCGCGACAACTACGCCAACTTTGGAGGGAGCTACCATCGCAATCCTCTACAGCATCCACCGCCTGCACGCAACATTCGAATTGCCCCATTGCCAGCCATCGCGGCACTAAAAGTAGAGACTTTTGCATTCAATGTCTTGGAAACAGGTGCAAAATCAACCATGGCCACATATGTCACATTCGATCTTACCGCCGTCAAACAGAACAACATCGAGACGCAAGGGCGTGGCCTCCAAACTCAAGACCGGTCTTATCTCCTCATGGAAAATAACGAAGGTTCCTTGATTGATCTTCAAATCCAGACCAATGTCAACGGTCCTGCCAGCAAGCTCTTTGAGGTCGGGGTTGAAAAGATTCACAAGCTGTGTCACAAAGACCGCTGGAGTGTTTTACTCAAGCTCGGTGCAAAAGAGAACACCCTGAGGTCCAGACTCTCCAGCTCCCTGCGATCAGACACTCGAGCAACATCATCCCTTTCATTGATCGACCAATTCCTGGCAAGCCTTAAGATGGACGGCAAGAGAAGCGAATCAGTCTCTGTTGAAGCAGTGATCAAATATCGCCATGCATTTCTGCCGGATGATACGACTTTGGAGACTCGTGCCGTCTGCCACGTTGGCTCGCTCGCTTCCGCCTCGTCCATGGACGCCATTGAAGCCGGAGTGCTCGCAAGCTCCATTGTTCATGCCCTGGATCCAGGGATCAACACTGTCAAGCTGCTCTCGGTCGAGCGACCAGAACAACAGCACCATCTGGAGCTGGGGGGGGCCCAGGCGCTGGCACTCATCTACGACTTCCGACATGCGTTGGGCCACGTCGTTTCCGAATCGGTAACCTGGGACCTTGCGGTCCTAGAGACCTATTACCGACAAGTCCAGGTATTGGAGTTTGCGTCTCCGCAAACTTCAACGCCCCGAGATACCCTTCGCCGCCGTGTGGCAACGGTGGCGAAGCGGTTCTCGCCGAGGAAGTCTGGTGGTGCTGGCCGTGGCGCCGAGGGGCGCGTGGAATAGGATGCCACGGGGTGCGGCGTTGGCGCGGGCGGCGGTGGTGTTGGTGCTGGCGGTGATGGTGCAAAGGGCGAGGACGAGGAGAGTGTCCATAGCATGGACGAGGCTGCCCTCGTGTGGCAGCATATGAGGGAGGCCTCCGGGCTGAGTGACGAGGCCGAGAGCCTCTACGAGACGGGAGTTTGGGGGCCGCCCTGGCTATGAGGGCCAATCAATTCTACATTCAATATGTCCTGTTTCCATTTCTTTCTTGCGTGACACTGTAGCTGGTTACGATCGCCTGTAGGCCGTGTGGTTCCAGGCAGCGTGGGACAGATGGATTGTTTTGCGAATGATGCACGCAATGCCTTGCCCAGCAATGCCTGCCAGCATCCACATACATAGAGTTGTCGCTCATCCCGAGTGCAAGTGAGGCGCCGGCGCCTCTAGTGGTGCTCTGGAATTGGAGGGAGCAAGGGACTTGTGTATAATATATGGCTGCAAGTAAAAACGCCATGTGTACTTACACTAACTACTTGGAGAGAATCGACGCGAGAAATAGAATCCGATTGGATCATGGCAAGGGACATATATCAGGGACAGAATATAACGGGTCCCGGGAGTATATACAAAATCCAGTCGTATCCTATCTTTTGATTGTTTCATTTTGTCTCATTCTCTCATCTCATTCTCTGGTCTCTTTTCTTGGTTTTGGGAAAAGCACTTCTCTCATCCCCCGCCTTTCTGGCGGGGTTTGCTCGTGGTCAGTACGGGAGGCCAGATATCGCGGTGGAGTGGCGGCGTGTTCATGTATGTGTTTGTCTGGCGCAGACGTCTGCAGAGATCCATTTTCGGCCGGCATACTCAGTCCAGAAAGGCATCCGTCAAATGGATCTCTGGTCGACGCCTGTGGCTCTTCTCCACGGTTCAGGGTTCAGTGACCTCTGTGCCAGCCTCATTGTCTTCCTTCCTTTGTGTCTCGACCCCCTCCGATGAACTCTTTTTCTCTATCGTGCCGTCCTTCCAGCTCACGGGCACCCCGTCATCTGTAAATCTCGCCCATTCGAACCACCCGCATCCCTCGCCGCCACCTGGCCTATTCCCAACCTGACACATCCACATATACCTACCCCGGTTAGCCCGCTGTTTCTGCACCGTTTTCAATACACAAGGGGTTCCGCATCTACACTTTGGGGTGTGTTTGGGGCGAAATTCTTCTCGGTACCACCTATAGGTGATGTTGATGCGCTTGTTACCAGCGATTGGATGGGGAGTGACAGTAGGGGCGGGTGCGATGCTGTGTTTCCACTCCTCCTGCATCTCAGCATGCATCACAAGGAGAGAGTTGTGGGGGAGATGGATTGCGATTTGGCCTGACTTGTCTGCTGCAGTGGTAGAGGTGCCTTCAGATTTGTCGGTTTCGTCAGGATCGTCCTTGGGCACGATCCGTCGAACGCGGAACTCTCTCGCAACCCCGAGACTCAAGCTCCCTATGATGGCCCGAGGCCCAAGATAGGAGAGTTGATCAGAATGGTAGCCCACATGCTGTGCGCCGCCATCATAACAATTGACAAAGGCGGCGTTGGGTTTCCATACTTGGGGTGATTGGTATTTTAATTTTTTTCCTTCCGGGTAAAAATCACGAATCCGAGTGGCAATCTCCCTGTTCACAGCGTCACGAACCAGACCGCTGACTTGCTTCATGACAGGTAGAATCTCCCTGATATCTCCGAGATCATTCCCATTGTAGTAATATTCGCTTCTTTGTCGCTCCACATCTGCCAGGCTGTCGACGTAGAAACAAGCTGTGTGCGGGGACTTGACCACATTGTCAAAGATTTTGAACTGAATAGAGTCGTAGCTCGGGACTTCAGCAAGGAGCTCTTCTAGAAGGGCGTTTGCAAGGCTGGAGGGAAGGAAATTGTGGATTATGGAACAAGGTGTGTGGTTAGCGATATCGTACGGCGTGTAAAGGTGAAGAGTTTTGCCCTTTCTGGTCAGCGGTTGCTGCGATGTTGATTTTGATGGGCTCTTGTTCTCTACCGCATACGGGAGACCAGTCTGCATACTGGCCCCGGTCATTCGACGCTTGGATGGCGGAGAGGCAGGTTGCTTGACGGTCGAGAGCGCCTTGATGGCAGCATCTACCGAGCCGTCACAGCCGAGCAGGATTTCCAGTAAGTCATCCTGAGACCTGTGTGGGTGCAGGGATGACAGAATTGCCAGTTTGACGTCGGTTGACTCTTCGTCCTCGTCGATCGGAGGTCTGGCATCGACTCTGGTGGGAGACTCACTCTGCAGCGGCGACACGCGACGTCGCTTTCGCAAAGTGAACGGGTCCATGTTCGATGTGTCCTCGACTGGGGGCCATCATATGAATTTGAGACACGGGCGACTCTTGAAGTAATATGGGTTGCAAAGCGCAGCCTGCAGAAAGTAAATCGCCAACGTCGCCCCAAGAAATGAAACTCTTAGTAAAGTCCAATACGCGCTGGTCGCGTGGGCGTGAAATGACGAAGGCAATAGCAACAGGAATAATGGCGGGGAGAAACCTCGGCCCGCAGCCAAGGTTCACCATCACCGCCTCAGAGAATCATGGCATTCATGTTCACAGACTTTGAGCCTCACATTTTTACTCGACCCGGTCACTCACGAGCCGCCAGTCAAACACGTTACCTCAATCTCCCTCAACAGGCCTGGGGCTAGATGCGAACCTGGTCTTGCGTTCGACACATGCAGTGACAAGCTGGGCATGATGAGTGACGGTTCACCTCCGACACCAGACATTCATTATCAGTCATGCTAGAATACCGCACACAAGGCTTCCAAGGCTACGCAGTCAAATATTCTCCCTTCTTTGACAATCGCATAGCTGTGGCAGCAGCTGCAAATTATGGTCTCGTCGGAAATGGACGGCTGTATGCGCTGGAGCTGACAGCTCAAGGCATCGTGCCTTTGAAAGTGTACTGAATTCTGACTCGATGAAAGAGGAATATTTGTGCTAATCGGTTCATCAGCTACCCTACACAAGATGCCCTCTACGACGTAACGCACTCTGAAGCCCATAGCTCCCATCTTCTCACTGCATCTGGAGATGGCGCACTGCGACTCTATGATACCTCCCTTGCTCCGGAATTTCCCATTGCAAAATTCGAAGAACATTCGCGGGAAGCCTTTTCGTGCAGTTGGAATCTCACGTCCAAGGCAACCTTTGCCTCGTCATCCTGGGACGGAAGTGTCAAGATATGGAGCCCCGAACGGCAGCAGAGCCTGCTAACACTACCGACCCATTCCTGCACGTACAGCGTCCAATGGAGTCCTCATACTGATGGAATGCTGAGCGCGGTATGCTCCGACAGCCATCTACGGGTGTGGGATTTGAGAACCCCGGCCAGTGCTAGTAACCATCTCATATTACAAATCCCTATTCATGCGGCACCCTTGTCAGTGGGCGCTGGAGTCGGGAAGATCCAACCGACCTTCCCACCTGCTGAAGCACTCACCCACGATTGGAATAAATACCGCAGCACAGTCGTCGCCACGGCCGGGGTTGACCGCATCATTCGAACATTTGATATCCGGCAGCCCAAAGGCCCCCTTCATTTGTTACAGGGACACGGCTACGCGGTGCGGAAAGTTGCATGGAGTCCACACCTCCCAGATCTACTACTCAGTGCCAGCTATGACATGACCTGTCGTGTCTGGACGGATGGAGGGGAGCAGGGAGGTCCCGCCAGAGAGCTCGGTACGATGGGTCGTCATACCGAGTTCGTTACCGGGGTCGACTGGTGTCTATTCGGGAGTGAAGGATGGGCGGCCAGTTGTGGTTGGGACGAGCTTCTCTGTGTCTGGGATGTGCGAACAGTTATGCGTCCTTGATGAGAGACGCGTATTACGCTGCAAACTGTGTACTCGAATACGAGGGTCTCATTGGATTGGGTTTCACGACAGGCGCCACCTTCAGGATTGGCTAACAGAATATTCTTCCTACGAGTGAAACAATACAAAGCATGACGCCTCTCCCTACAGTCATCAACATCAGTTCGAAGTGGATATGACAGATACCCAATCTGAAACTCTTATGCATCATGGCTGATCTGACCCGGAATCCAGGTTCATCGCCGACTTATGTTACATCTTGCAATTCGAACAAGGCTTTCAACCGCGTCTCGACCTGTCGTTCGGCAGACGCTGGTCGGAATGAGAAGATGGATAACAAAGGATTGCCTTGCAGTTTAGTCCCGGGCATCTAATCTCTTTTCCTCGCTTTCCGACAACGTCTCCAACCAATCGGAGTGCCAAGACCTTCTCGAAGTCATGGATGTTTGTCGATCCTCGACGTCTCTTCAACTTTTCTTTTTGCTTTCGTGCTCAGCATCTACGCCTTGATAGGTGCCGGCAGCAAAACCTTATCTCGGCCACCCTTGTCGCTAGGGCGAATCCTTCACATTGCTTGTTCACACTCCGCGTCCCGAGAGCCTCATCCCTGACTCCTAGCATCTTATGCAGCCGCCGGTCTGGGGAAAGGTCCGGGATTGACCACTGATGTTCTCCGTTTCGAGTGCAGCGGGTACCTGCTTCAAGCAGAGCAGGGCTACAGCCTGGCCGTGGTTGATCGGTCCCTTTGGCATCCTGGTCGGCCGAGGTTGGACACCCACTCTTGTTAAGCATATCGCATGCTGGGACAAACATGTTTTCCATTTCAGCTTGAAGTGGTGGAAATGATTGTTGCAGGGTCATGTGGACTCTTGTTTGTGTTACAAAATCTGCACGTCGAACACTGGCGTCGGATCCCATGAAGGTTCGGTGCCGCCCTTGAATACTATTTAAGGGTACGCGCAACCGTCGTTGACGAGACATGATCGAGGACTACAAGAAGGACTATTGGAAGAATACATAGAGCTACCTCATAGCCTCGCTATCCTATTGCTATTGCGCATCACGGTCTCAGACATCTCTTGATCGTATCCCACAAGCCCACACTCTGACAGCACGCAGACATAACGATGCAGCTCCCCAAGGTTCGATAACAGATTGGTGTCTCGTTGCAGCTTCTAATACACTTCCCAGGCGCTAGCCAGCCTTCTCCTCGTCGCTCTGACTCCCGTTGTCCTCGCCCTTCCACCTGGCCTCATGCCCAGCAAACAGCCCGTGACCCCGTCCTTCTGGCCGCGCGAATTCCACGCTGCCCCGACGAAACGCCAACAACAATCCTGCGCCGAGACCTGCGGCGGCGTGTGCTACTTCCAGAAGACCATCGACGCCGCCGTGGCCAAGGGCTTCTCGCTCCACCAGGCCGGCCAGACCGAGGGCTCCGACGACTACCCGCACCAGTACAACAACTTTGAAGGCTTCGACTTTTCTGTCAGCGCGCCGTACTTTGAGTTCCCCATCCTCGACACGTTCAAGGTGTACAACGGCGGGTCGCCGGGGCCGGATCGTGTCATTTTTAATGACGATGGTGACTATGCGGGTGTCATTACGCATACGGGCGCCAGTGGTGACGATTTTGTCGCGTGTGAGGGGGATCTGCCCTAGATAAGCTCGTCGTGTCGTGTGTCGTGTCTTCTCTCGTCTCGCAAGGTTGAAAGTTGAAGGTTGGGATGCGGGTCGAACGGCAAAGAGGGGGTGTCGCGACTAGGCTTTCAGAGCCTGCGTTCGGATGATACATTCAAGGGAGCAGAGCAGAGCCGAGCGCAGCAGAGCGTATCTAGGGGTTGCCAGTATGGGCACAAGCTCTGTGTTGGGTGTTGGACAAAGTGATGTGTGAGCACAAATAGGATGGTTGTTGCATACGAGGCTCCTGATGGGTCTCTCCTCTGACTCTTTGCTGTGGGTACATGGTATTAGACTGGTTGGTCCATACTAGGGAGCAGTAGAATGATTTCGTTCTGTTCCTCTATCGCAACAAGTCTAATGTACGTAAGGTGTATCCCGCTATGCTTGGTTCCCCTATTCGCCAAATATGCATGTATCGTAAGAATAGGAGGAGAAGAGAGTAACGACGAAGACGAAGACGAGGACAAGGAGGACCATGCAACCGCCCTCACAAAGTCTTCACTGATTCACGCTGCTTTGACCCGTATCCATGTTGCAGCCCACCACCACCACATCAATTAATCGTGTTCTCGTAGTATGTCATCTAGCCAGCAGCTGCTCCCCAGAGGCAGCACATCACGCACCGCACCGCCGGGAGAAATGAGAGAGACTCGTCTTGCTTGTAGGGATTTTCCACCTCTTAAAATGATAGCGGGCATGAATCTTGTTGATAGAAAGGAGAGCTTTTCGTGTTTCTTTGTCCATGGTATGATGAACGTGGAACCCACGCTGCCCGGTCCAGTCGCAGAGGGAGGCCGAAATGGATTGTGCATTCCAGAGCCCACTCCCTGTCCCTCCTCCCTCTCCGGTTGGGAGGGGGGTGAACTTCTGGTCTTTTTGGAAGGAGTTGGAATTTTCACTTCTCGCCCAACCGGTTTTCCACGCCCTCTCTGACCTTTTTCCTCACTTCGGCCAGTTCCTCCTTGCTGGCATCGTACCGGACGTTGCCGGACTGGTTGAAGGGGTTCTCGTCCGACTTTTCAAACTCCTTCTTAATGAGCTCGATCTTCTGGTTGCGGCGCAGGCCCGGGCGCTCCTTGTCGATCTCGGGCAGCCGCCGCTCCTCGTACGCCTTGTATGCAGCCGGGAACCGTCGCTCCGGGTGCCGGTCCAGCTTCATGTCGTGGGGGGAGCTAGTCGTCAGGGACAGGGCGTCGAGCGCGTTGTCGATGCCGGACGCGTTGAGCGCCCTCTCCTTCCCGCCGGCGCCGTTGTCGTCGTCGAGCTGCGCCAGGTCCAACGTACCGCGGCTCTTCTTCTCGGCCGTCTTCTTGTTCGCGCCCTTGGGTTTGTCTCTCATGCCCTTCTCTTCTTCTGCGAGCATTGCCTCCCGCTCCGCCTTCTTCGCCGCTTGTTCGGCTGCCTTTACCGCGGCGGCCTGCTTCTTCGACGTGTCCTTGGCTCCTTGTTGCCATTTCTCCTCTTCACGGGCGGCCGCAGATGCGTTGGCGGCTGCTTGCTTCTGCGCTGCGGCTTCGGCCTTGCGCGCGTTCCCCGCGACTTTCTTGGTGTTTTCGCCTTTTCCTTTTGGCGCCATTGCTGCTTCTACTTCTGCTCTTGTTGCTGTTGCTATTGCTGCTGCCTGTCCGAAAGGTATGCGGGTGCTGGTGGGGTTAGCGGCGGCAGCAGTGTTGGTGTTGTAGTAGTTCCCCTCGCAGCGGGGTTGAGGGGTGGAGGACGCCCTGGAGTCGAGGTACGCTTTGGTGGTGATGTAGGTGGTGATGTTGACAATCACGAAAATGCGGATGAATTGGGTAGGGGAGAAGATGAATGGATTATGAGGCATACATACAAAAAGCGAAAATGTGGGCGAATATTAATTGTGCTAGACTCTCTTGTGACTCGACTGGATTGGAGAATCGGAATAGGCGCAACTGGTGCCAACACAGGACAGTCACGGTTATGACTCCTCCGACTTCCTTGGTGGTCGCCTTGCGCATTTTCCATCAGATGCTAAAAGTCGCCTTTTGATCTCTATAAGCTGTATTATGATGTAATAATAAAACACGGCTTGAAAGTTTGTTCCAACGCTGGACTCGGACCCTGAGAATTTGGAAGTGGTACAGTAGATTCTCCTGCGGGATTGTGGCTGGTATCAATTGTTTCTTTGCAAAAGCCCTTCCCATAACCCCCGCCATTACCAGGCCCAGCCCATAAGCACCAAGAGGGTATCATATCTAGAAAAGCTCCTGACTCCCAACGGGGTAACCTGCACACTCTCACGGGACTTGGAGGGAGAATGTATGCATGACCTGAACGCCGTCGCTTAAGACCTCAAATCAACCTCAAGGGCGTCCTCATTCCAGCGAAGCCCTGTCTCATGAACTTGTACTTGTTTGGCACGGTCTGGAGGCGTCGAAACGCCTCTCTGACATGCTTGGGCTCGACAGGTGTCCTGCCTTCCTCGGGCATCTCGAACAAACTGCAACCTTCCCGCTTCCGTTTCTTCGACGCGTCCCGATCGCCTCTGCCACCATTCAATTTCTTGTTTGCCATATCTTCGGCAGCTTTGACCTTCAAGGCCTCCTCTGTGAGAGTCTGGACAATCTCAAATGTCAAGAAGCCGAGAATATCAACTGCATCGTCATTTGGTCTGTTGTCAATGATGGTACCGAATCCTGCCCATTCGCGAAATCGTTTGCCCTTGCGGAATGTGAAACTGGCTTGACGGCAGTCGGACCAGTAGACATATTCGTCCTTGGTCATGTTCTTAGTACGTTCATCGGCGGAAGCGAGGCGGGCGAGTGTGGCTTCATTCTGCTCCTCTTCCTCCTCGTCTTCTTCATCGTCCCTTTCCGGTACTTGCTCAACGTAGAACGACTGGATCTCCCAGGGCAAGACTAGTTTGGCTTTCTTGGTCGTGGTAGTTTTCTGTGGAGCAGATGGGTTGACACCTCCTGATGCCTAAGGGCGCATGCATTCAGTCGTCTTTCCATGAAGTGACAGACGTAAGAAATACCTACCTCGTCGAAATCGCCAACTTCAGCAGCGTCGCCTCCACCTTTGTCATCTGAATCTTTGACATTCTTGCGGACATCCTTCCAAGAAAGAAAGGTCTTGAGTCTGGACACTTTTGCTCGATCGTGGCGAATCTGAAAAATAAGGTCGGCGATTGAGATGGTCTTGGAACCTCGACGGTTTGCCAGAGCAGTTGCTTGTGTCAGCTGGTTGTAAGTTAGCAAGGCTGTAGATGATTCTGCGAGTGTGCCTGACCATTTCGATAACTTGCTCTCTCACAATTTCCTCAATCATCCAGGTTGTCTCCGTGCTTGGTTCAGCGGTCTCACCACTCACGAACATCATCTGCCCAATCCAATATATCAGCCTCTGCTTGAACTCTTCCGGGCTTTCAAAGTCATCATCGTCTCTAGGAGTGTCGGAGGCAGTTGGGGTAGCAGAGCTAAGGCTTCCTTCCGTGGACACACTGCCGTTTTCGGGCGTGTCCAGAGCATTTCCAAGGATGAGAGGTCCGTAAGCGTCTCCTTCAGCACCCTCATGTATCTGATCCGCCATGATTGTCTTGAGCTCCGATCATGCTCCAAGATAGATGTGTTTGTTTAAAGGAACAGATCGGCTTTGAACTAGCAGCTGCATGATATTTAAGGCAAATATCATGGAGTTGGGCTTCCCCGTCACTAGGCAGTGAAATCAAGGAGACGGTCCGGTCGATGTGACGGACGTCCATCGCGACGCGACGCGTCTTCGTGGATACAAGTGAAGTGAATGCTTCAAGTGTCCAAAATTGATGGTCCAGATCCATGGCATACTGATCTTCCCCATACGACCGGAACAGAGGTGATCACTTCGTCTTCAGCCAGAGGTAGTACTCTAGTATGGATCCTGCTCCCACGCTCCTTCTAGTTCTGATATCCAGGGACTGATTTGTCGGTGTCTCCAACGGTCCGGTACTATCCTGGAAGGATATGATACAACAGAGAAAGACGCTTACCTGCTGAATTTCCTGCCGGTATTTAGCTGGTCTCTCACCCGCCATCTTGACTACCTTGACTCCTGAGCCCACTCTGTCAAGTTTGTTCGTTCAGCAATTTGTCTGATCTGGCTCTGTTTATTTTTGTTCGAACAGGCTAGGGATAGCGACTGTGGTGCCTGGGGCCTGGCTCTGATGCTATGAGGATGAAGGAAGTGCTGGTTGATGAATGAACGATGACAGGGATGGCCAGCCTGAGAAGACTGAGGGGATTGAAAGTGACAATCTGCCCGCCGACTTCCCCGAAGTTGTGCCGCGCCGTCACTGATATTTTGCCGTTTGTCTGCGCCCTCCCGACTATTGATGCTATTCTGTTGTTACTTCTGTCAACTCACTTCACCACGTTTTTCGTGATAATACGCCAATATGCTCTACCTTGTTGGTCTTGGTCTCGCCGATGAGATGGATATCACTGTCAAAGGACTGGAAGTTGTGAAACGTGCTGCCAGAGTTTACCTTGAGGCATACACTAGCATTCTACACGTTGGAAAAGATAAGTTGGTATGTGCAGACACATTTTCCCGTTATTATTTTTTCTTTTGAATCGTTTGTCGCATCTCTCGCTGACACGACTCTTGTCTGACAGTGAAGGTAGGAGTCATTCTATGGACGACCCGTAATTGTAGCGGACCGCGAAATGGTCGAGTCCTCCAGCGACGAGATCCTGGAAGGAGCAGACAAGGCAGACATTGCTTTCCTGGTTGTTGGTGATCCTTTTGGGTAGGATGGCACATCACGCAACTATTGGTCACTTTTCTAACGAGGCTTGCAGAGCTACAACTCACACAGATCTCGTCCTTCGAGCCCATGAGCTCTCTATCCCTGTCAAATCGATCCCCAATGCCTCTATTCTCAATGCCGTTGGTGCAACTGGTCTCCAGCTCTACAATTTCGGCCAGACTGTCTCCATGGTTTTCTTTACCGAGAATTGGAGACCAGCCAGCTTCTACGA